CGATTTTCATTTTGTTCGTGTTTTGGTCTGTGAAAATTTCTATATTTTACCGGGTCTGTAGAATATGTTCGTAGACAAATAACGAAAGTGTAAATGAGAAGTCAACATATTGTCGTTTATTACAACAACATAATGCTATAATAAAGAGAACAAGCAACAAGTTTATTGCTGTAGGTCAATATGTAGATTGATGAAATGAAAGGGAAGGTTCATTAAAGGTCAAATATCAAGAAAATAGATATACTTGTATGTAATATATGTTGTAAACAATGGTTAAAAGAAGGAATTACAGAATTCGTTTAATTTTAAACCTCGTTGTTTTTTTTATTTACCTGTTCAAATATCGCTAAAAATTACGTTCATCAATAGAGTTACTTCCCCTTTTTGTGACGTCATTAGAGACACTCGACAAAATCTAGCTACATAAGTAAAGTAAAAGGTGCTCTTAATTATCTAAATATATGGCAAATTTTGAGGAACAGAAATGTTGATATATCAGAGTAATGCGTAGATCTGTCTGTTAAGAATATGCTTTGTATATTCGAGTTAAGAAAGTACGCAAATTGATTATTCTTCGACTGATTCTGTTTCGTCCGAAGCCGGTTCGGGTGAAAGTGGAAATTAAATAACACAAATGACAAGGGATCATCGCAGAAATAAACGAATTTACATACATGTAATTTGTATTTAATGCCTTTAACTGAGTAAGCTCAATATTTCCGCAAAAAATATTTAACTGCGGAAAATTGATTTTATGTATTGTTTTTTATTCATAATATAGGACCAAGTCCCAGGATCATGAAACAGACTTAGACTTAAGTCAAATTTTAAATTGCCTGTAAAATGTTTATTATCTACTGAATGAATCTCAAAATTTGCAAATTAAAGCACTTTTGTGATTCAATATTGGAATATTTTTTAATTTTGATCTGCTTGACTTCTACAACATTTAAGTACCACATGAAGATTTTGACTTAAGTTTAAGATGCTTCATAATCCTTAAGCCAGGACTTTTACATTGTAAAAAAGTATAGATTCATAAGAATTCTTTTTTTTTACATTGCATGGCCGTTTGAACCAGACACACAGGGCGATTGTTTTATGTTAAGTATACTATAATAAATATTGAAAGGAACAACAGAAATTACGTCATCGTCGGATGTACATGTATATCATCCGTCGGAATCCGAAGTTGTAGCTATCAAAGGTGCTTGGACCAACCCCCCCCCCCCCAACCCCCCACACACCCCCTCGGTTGCTCTGTATCCAGTGGGTTTTTTTTTTACTTTGAAATAATATTTTTTTTATGATATATTCATAAAGTATAACAACCGAAAAATCAAAAATTTACGGGGAAAGAAAGCTAGTTCAAGCCTTTTATAAATCCATACACTCTGATACAAAAACAGAACGTTCTGTTTCAGCATCGGAGGGCATGAATTTTTCCTGTCCCTAAGCACCTTTGGTAACTAAACATTTGTCTGGAACCTTTGTTAATTTATGCGTAACTAACAAGTAATTTTTATTTGCCCCCCCCCCCCTCCCAAAGTAATATTTCTTTGTTGTCCCCCTCAATGGATATTAATTACTTCATACAGGCCTGAAAATCTTTGTCACATAGCGCTTTCATTCTAAAAATATTTTAATATGAATTATTTCACCCTAATATAGTTTAGAAAAAAGAAAACAAAACTATTTTAAGAATACATTCTGATTTCATATGCTCTTGTGAAAACTATGTCATGACGCCAGCACAAGAGAAAATAAGTGCTGGAGGAAAACAAAACTGCGGGCAGAAAATTTAGGAACAATCACTTGCGTGCATGAACACTGAGGTTTTAATGTTTGAATAAGTATGTAATGGAAACAATTTTAATATAAATATTTTCTAGAAAAGGGACACCTGGTAGTAAATGAACGCATTTTTGAGTGAGTATTTTCTGAGACAGATATCATGCGCGGATTTAGAGAGGGGATTTCCGGGACATACCCCATCCCAACTGATATTTTTTTAGACACGATAACTTGGCAGATAATCAATTCCTTGTTTATTATACCACACCTTCCGTTTTTTGTTGTCAATCGAATTTTAGAGATTGTTCCTCCACAGTATATGAAAATTGCTAGTATTCTTTTTTTACTCCAGCATGTTCGAGGTTTACGCCAAAAATGTACCTTTGACTTGGCGCTGCGTAATGTTCAGTCATGTTTATATATCGAGTGCATGCTCTAATGTAAAGGGCCAATCTCTAAAACTTGACAAAAGCGGAAAACATAAAATATCGAAGTATTGGTATGACGGACAAGGAATTCATGTCTATTTTGCTTAGTTTTATTTTCAGTAGGGGGGAGGGAGGGGCAAAGTACATGAACCAATCGTCAGGTACTTGTGATCTTGTTGAGTACTGTAACAAGAATTTAAAAAACTTTTCCTCTAAACAGTATTGCAGCTATTAATACCTAAACTGAAAAATTAAAAAATGCAATTTAGAAATAAAAACTAGAAATTCGTGAGATAATCTTATAATCGTAGCCTAATCTGGTCTATGTAAAATGTCGCTTACAAATATTTATAGTGTTTCGTGTTTATTGGGCTCAAAACCATCTTTTTTTTTAGTTGAATGTCCATATTTCCCTCAATTTCAGGTGCATAAGAATTTAAAAATATAATCATGTCTTGTTCCCATTGGTACAGTTAAAAGCCCACTTGGCAACATCTCGCAAACAATAATGTTCCAAACACGACAATATAGCATGCACTTCCTATTTCACGCTGTCTCTGATGACGTCACGCAACAAGGGAGATAAGCGATTTACAATAAATGATCCACTTGTCACACAGGTAAGTTTAAACGACTATTAGTGATAGAATTTGGTGACAAAAAATTAAATAGACCTCAGAATGTCATTCATATTGCTCCAGAGACTGACTATAATGAATAATTATGAATTTTCACAAAAATATTATACTTGACCTTTAAGCAATATGCAATAAAACCAGTGTTGCATCTTGTATACTCCTTAATTAAAGACGAAGCAGATAGGTGAAAGAAAGGTATCTTGTCATATTTGGTTAAATAAAGTCACAGATACACAAATACAAAGATTCTTTTCACGGTTTTGACAAAAAAAAAACTGTGCCCACGACAGGTTGGTTACTTCATACAGTACTTTAAACGGAGAGAAAAAATAAAAAAAAAAGTTTTCCAAATGATCAACAATACTTACTGTATAATAATGAAAATCAGGTCTGAAGACAAAAGCTGAATTGATCTAGCTTTAACCTGTAAACGGTAAAGGATACAAAACCACTGTCACAGACACTTTAGATGAACAAAAATCTAGAAAATGATCAAACATTTTTAACTTTTACTGAAGTGATGATGATGAGTTCGCTTGTAATGGAACCTGTCCATGCGTACCTGTTGCTGGCCCTGCAGTTTGTGGAGCAGATGGTACGACATATACTTCTCCGGACGAGGCCCTTGAGAGGTACTTTTGTGAGATAAGAGCAAAATTTCTGGTCAATTTTTTAAAAAGTTTTGTAGAACATTAAATTGTCTTTCATTCAAACATTTTACCATACTCTGATTTGTATAAGACCCACTGTTGAATGCACAACCACGTTGTCATCATGTGGACAAGATAAACTTGGTTTGTTCAACGTCTGGAGGATATTAAGCAAATAATAACATATCCAAGTACTTTTGACTTTTAGAGACATGGGCATTGTTTGTGATAACCCTTGCCCCTGCTCCAGTGGTTGTGTTTGCAACGACACGCTAGACCCAGTATGTGGTGAGGATGACGTCACTTATGATAACGCCTGCAAGGCAAACTGTTCGTAAGTTTTTCATCAATCTTATCGCTGATAGATTAAGTTTCGTATTAAATGAGATGAATATACTTCACTATAAAATACCCACTATATTTTTATATTTCCTATAATTGAATCCTAATATTGTTTTACTTTTAGAGATGTGACCATTGCTTGCAACAATTCATGCCCGTGTAAGGTGACTCCGTGCAAATGTGATGATTTGGTTAACCCAGTCTGCGGAAGTGACGCAAAGACGTATATCAACAGTTGCCATGCTAACTGCGCGTAAGTGTGCTCATAAGGATTCATTCAAATATGTACGTTTTGAAAAATAAGAAATTCAAATTTTAACTACACAAATTTAGTAAATACTGAAAATAAAAAATTCAAATGCTTATAAAGATAATTCGAAAGAGGATTGAGAAAGTTTAAGACTGGAAATCATTTTCAAAATTAACCAAAAAGGCAAGTGGAAATTGCATGCGAGACCTGCTGCCCTTGTCCGGAAATCCAGCCGGTATGTACCTACTGTCAACTCGAGTATGATTTTGTCTGTGGAGCAAACAACGTAACCTATGCCAATGCATGCTGTGCTGAATGTGTGTACGTATAAATGCTGTCAATTCAGTCAACGTTGTGTCAACGGCAAGTCTGTTTTCTAGGTCTAAAGTTTTTATCTGGTGGTTATATCATATTTAATTCCTACACTTTCCTTTTCAGTGGAGTCTCGGTGAAAGATACCCTGCCGTGTTTATGTCCGGCACAGAATAATTTATAACTTCATCGTCATAAACTCGCAACTAGTTATGCTTCAAATGTCATTTCTACTTAGTTTTCTTAATAAAAGTAGTCTTTTAACTAATTTTTCGTTTGCAATTTATACTAGCTGCTGTAAAATTATATTTAAAATGTGTGTGTAACGACTCAGTCAACTCTTTCATACAGATAACTCATTAAGACTGACAAGTACACACTAATAGTCATAATTTTTTACGGCCGCTTCATGTTGAAAAAATATACCATTACGATGTACAACGAGGAATCACGAAAATTTTTTTTTAGGTTGTTAAAGGCGCGCTGTAAAATTTTGATTCAAATATTCGTGTACACATGTATAATGAGCAAATCAACTCCTTTCTACGTGTATGTTATCTCTATTCAACCTCTGGAATAAAATCAACAAATACCCAACTAAGTATAATGTTGAAGAAATGATTTAATCATGATGATTAACTTCACTGCCGCTAGAAATATTCACATCTTTGCTGCTATTAATATCCTCCGGTGGCAATTTATTTCCACTTCCTGACTGTGAAGGACTCGTGTTTAATGGGATATTCTTCTTCACTAGAAGTTCTAAAATATCTTTCCACTGTTTCTGTTTGTACTCCAGCCTCATTCTTTCTAATTCTATCTCCTTCTCTATCTTCATTCTTTCTATCTCGAGTAACACGGAGGCTTGGAATTCGGGAGTCTGTGAGGCTAGTGTACGCTCTAGCAGTGATTTCGTGTCTCTTTCATTTTCTCTTGTTGAATTGAAGGAACTTCTCCATCTCTTTGCTGCCCGTAGTCTATCTGCAATATATTTTTTAATTGATATTAATAACACCATTCAACTAATAAAAATATACGTGTATATAAGATAAATAAAAATTGTATATCTTGAAATATATGTGAAAAGGCACGTGTTCAATGATTCAGTTGTCATCTTGTCAAAGTATTTAAATTTGATACACTACTCAATCTGATTAAAATCATATCTTTGTTACGCTCCGAAATTTTGATAGTCGCTGTACAACTACATGTATCAAAATTACGGAGCGTAACAAAGATCTGATTTTAATCAGATTGATATACACTACTCTTGATAAAACATAATGATTTGGGTTTACTTTCATTGTATAATAAAAGGCTTTTACATCAACTTCTATATAATGCTATAGATGCCATTACATTTATTTTATTTTATTTCTCGTTTACTTATAATCTTCTGTAGCCAAATATCCAATCTCTCCATCCATTATCAACTTAATCATTTCAGTTTTATTCTTGCTGTCTAATCGCTTATTTTTAATTCACTGTTTTCCCCATCGTTGTTACGTGAACCCCCCTTTTTTCTATATAATCCATCTACTCACTGTTTACTCTTAGGAGCAGCATCTTTGCTTACCTGCCAGACTTGTAATGCTTCTTCGTTTTCTGACCTTCTCTTCTGTGACGGTATTTACTCGTTCCGTCTGGGTTTCTTTTTTATCCTGATCACAAGGAACTGCTGCACTTACTTCTACTGGGTTTGTATCTACTTTTACAGCCTCTGAAATAAAAGAAACAATACCATTTAGATTTTGGCAAGTCATGACTTACATGCGTACATATTGGAGGCACTATATTAACCACATTCTTTTTAACTAACTTTCACTCTGATGCCTTGACATCAAAGTGAAACCAATTTCAATTTACTTTTGATGATTTTAAATCTATAAAAAATAAAACCTAGACACTGTCAAATGGTTTCCAAATAGTATTATATGTGAAATAGCCTGAGCTTTTTTAAGCATGTACTCATATAAATTCGATCTGAGAACATTTTTCCCTTCCAGACTTATTAATATTTCTTTTTCGCAAATTCAGGCAAGATTAAATATATATGTTATTCTACCATTCGCGTCATTATTAATATTTACAATAAGTGTGCAGCCATCCTAATACATGTATAGCTACAGTTTTACTAAATATTAATCCACATCCAGCATTACAAAAAACAGATTAAAAAGGGCAAACAACATGCAAAGACTTGCCTTCAGAATGACTTGATATTTCACAGTCAGACACGCTCTCCGAGGCGTTACACTCCAGTCCGGGCGTCTCCACGTTTCCTATTATGCCCTCCATCTCATCAAAAAATCTAAAGGCTCGCCGTTTGGAGGGAATGCCCAATTCTTTTTCGCGCCTGTAGTCTTTCTTTAGTTGTTTCACTTTACATCGACATTGCTTAGCGTTTCGATCGTATCCGTTCTCCGTCATTTTGTCGGCGATTTGGTCATAAACCTCGGAATTACGATACATCCCTTCGAGGCTCTCTTGCACCTCTTTCTGTCCCCAAAATTTGATCAGAAGTCGGGTTTCATCGTCTGTCCATACTGCCCCTCTGTCCGCCATATTACGAAGCTTTGAGGAAAACAAGGTTCGTGTCTGATATCGATCGTCACGCACACTGAATTTAATCCGGATTATGACGCAGAACCGCTTTCAACCCGGATTGTAAACAACAAAGCACTTATTACGCTAGGCATATTGTAAAACATTGTGTACTCTAACATAAAATAATTGTCCTTTAACGGTTAAAATTAAGGTCAGTGGCGATCCAACCTTGCGTACACGTGTGCTCAAATATGCACATCTTTATGGTAAAATAATTTATTAGTTAAGAATTTTACACTTGAATTAATAATAAAAGGCGAAGTTACTTTACTTTAATTTGTAACTTTTGCGTCAATATATTATACTTGAATAATTCTCAGATATGCTTAGATGAACTCTATTCTCAAAATAGCATGTACATGTAAATCACTCTCCTATGATTTATGTTCCTCAAAAATTATACACTAGGTCACTGATATATTAAGACGGCCCCGCTAAAATTAAATACCGGAATTTGTTTAAATGATAGTTTTAACATTCACTTTGTTAATTTAAGGTTGCATGGATGGATCAAGGCGGTTTTTAATTATGTTTTATATACTTAATATATAATTTTAACCAGAATAAATATTAGAAAATTTCTTTTTTCAATAACTATACATTGTAAATATTTCCACTTTTTGACTCAAAAATACATACAACTATTTAATATTAACCACATAAATGTTAGAACATTTCATTTTTCAATACCTATACATTGAAAATGTTTCCACTTTGTGATAAAAATAAACAATTCACTTTTTTTTGTTTTCCTGACCTTTTGTATGTCTCAACATTTTCGAAACTTTTTACACAGGTTCTAATTTTGTTGATATAGTTTATTCGTAAAAAAATAAATAAATAATAAGTTCCCAAGTATTTAAAAAGCACGCCTATAGCACGACTAATTCTATGAAAGAAATTAGACTTACAATACCAATATTGCAATACCATCAGATAATTATAAAAGTTAAAAGCGATATACCGGTAAACGGTTTAGAAATTCAAGATATTTAACTATACAGCGCCTCGAGTAAAATGAAAAATGGAAAATCGTGAGTTTGTCTATACTTTTGAAAGCATCAATTACCATGACCTTAACGTAGCCATGTGAAAATTAGATTAAATGTCCTAAATACAGAATGGCCAACTGTGTATCACCTATATAACTTCAATCCTATATATTTAGTAATTTAGAATTAAGAGTATACCAACCGTTCAATTTGATTTTATTCCGATAACAAAAGATTGGCTTTCATCTATCTTCCTCCAGGCAGAAAATAATTTCATTGCCGTCCAAACTGGACGTAAACAGACTTTGCTGTATAATATGGGTACCTGTATATTCTTGGTCAGTTTTTTACTTCTACTTTGAGAGACTATATACACTGTCTTGTTTTTATTTACATGATGCTGTGTTCAAAAAAGTGCACGTTTTCTGGATTATTATTTACTTTTGCAATATCCACATTACCAATACTGGATGCCGCAACTTTACAAAATGTAACGACTAGTGCAGATCAAAATGGCGATACCACGCTATTAACGGAAACTCTTGAAGAAAAACTGGAACGATTATCTCGCTGTTCCTGAACGCCGATTTCACCGACCTTAAGTTCGGACATCAGAGGAAAACTAGACGATGGAGCGAGATTAATTCACATGTATTTGACGATCGTGAACCATACCGGGCCATTCCCGGGGGAACTGAAGTCGGATGTTTATAAACCCCTCCGCTGGTCCCGTAGTACTGGGAAGATGGGTCGGGGTCTGATGATGCTGAAGAATACTTACAACATTCTGTCTTTCAACACGCTGAACTACGGGGTAGAATACATGTATAATTTCAGTTTGACCCAAAATCCTACCGACTGCTTGTCATCAATGGACATTTATGATGTTCAAGAGTATTTACGACGTTTTCTGTTGAATGACGCTAAAGGGATTATTTTGAATGGAACGGCAGATATTGTGGGAAATTCAAGTCAGGAAATCTGTAATTTTGAGATCAATATTGAAAACGAGTTCGACTTTGGCTATTTTCATTACGAATGTTGCCACCTGAACAATGACATGACATTAATTTGTGAGAGACTCCTCCCCAATGTTTGGATAACTGCTATCATTGTCTGTGTTTTTGTATTGAACATTATCGCCATTTTCTTTAGTCCTTATTTCGTTCCAGCTACCATTTATCAAGCTCACGAGGAACCGGTGATATATGAACACAAACTTAGTTCTCCCAAACGTATTATTGTGAAAAAAGCATCAAATTGGAGTTCATATTCAGATAAAGAAATATCCTTTGAAAATGTATCATCTAGAGACATGCCAAAATTTCAAGATGTCTTGGACTCAAGCAACATGGAAATGAATACACCATATTCCCTGGCTATTTCCAAACTGTTATTTTATGTTCCACCCGCAAAACTTCTTTCTTCTTCTTGTGCACCTGTTGGGCTCATTAGTACGTTATATAACAGAGTATTTCTTGTGTAAGGTGAAAAAAGACGAACGAATTTATACTTGTTGTGACTCCAGTACGAAACCATTCAGGAAATATAAATGGCAGTTCTGTCTACGTCGCACGATGCACGCGTTTCTGCTTCTTTTGGCGATCGTACCTTGGATAATTCGCGTGTCCTTGTATTACATATACGAGGACAAGGAATTGACTGACATGAGACAAGCGGCGAATTTACGGCAAATAAACGCCTATTACATACAAGCCAGCTTTGCCGTTCGATACCTGACTCCCATTCACATTGTTTTCATCATCTGCTACTTAATTATTGTTGTGGACTCTCTTGTCCTAGGCCTGGTCTTCAATGCATACCTGTATAAATTTCAAAAGATTCTCAGGAGATGTTTTCATGACATGGACGCTTATGTCAGGTACAGCACCTTTGAATGGATGCTGAATCTCCTGATCTGGCCTTTGGAAAAAATTGGTCTGTATGCCTTGCCATTCATTGCTATATATTGGGCGATAATGATCATTGTTTTATCCCCCATGTTGCTGTATTATTTTGTACCGACTATCAATATTTGGATCAGACTTTTTCTTCACTGGTGCGCGTACATTTGTCCCCCCTGGCCCTTCCTTGAGAAACTGTTGTTAAAGAGCTTACATGACACTGATCAACTCCCAATCAGGTTACCCTGGAGAAAGCGATTATTTGAATTTTTCATTGTCAACATGTGTCTGCTTACCATGTCCTCATATCTCTTCCTTGCTGCTGAGTGCATCACGTTCTTTGTGGAAATTTTAGTTTACACCTTGGTCGGAATCATATTAAACGCTCAAGTAACTCTGAAATATGTCTCACTCTTCCTGATGTTAACTTTGTATGCACGTGATACCTTTGGAAGTGTAAGTCGGAAATATACAAAATACAACGAATCTCTGATTAATGCACTGAGACATATTGAGAAGAAACAAGTAGATGATTTAGGAATTTGTGACAAAAACGTAGCACTGAAGACTAAGGACATGGGAATCGTGAACGAAATCCACCCTGAACTGAGGATAAAAGGAGACGATTTGAAATGGAGACTTCACCATGTGTTCATATTCATCGACAAGAAGATGAATGCTTTTCGAATTTCCAAAAATTTCTTCTTCAACACAATTCACATGGATATCAACGGCTGTCCAGGATATCTGTTTTCAAACTTCATGCAAGCTTTTCGTCAGCTTCTGCTAATCATGGTCTTTTTAATGTTTGTTTTTCTGGTGGTCAGTGCGTTTGGTGACCAGTACGAAGTGTCCGGAGTCAGTCAGATGTTGGCCACGCTGGTTGGAGGATTCCTTCCATGGATATTTAGTAACATCCTCTTCCGGGACAAAGTTCATTCTAATTTCATCAGCACCGATTCTGCAACGTTTTCCACTTTTAAGAGTTTTCTGTTTGAAGAAGTTAATAAATTTGAGCAGTCATGGACAGTAGCGGACTTTGATGTTAAACCTGAGGGTCTCAGGAAATGTGACAATGCGATCGACACGGATTGCGACCTCATTATTGTATGTAACACCCCGATGTACTCCGAACGTAATAGTACTTCTGAGGCATATCCCATGAATAAATCTGTTTAATTCATAGACAGTCATCAATATAAATTATGTATTATTCAAATAATAAAATTCGTATTAAAGGAACAATATCAGTAACCATATGCGGACAAAGCAAAGAGAATACTAGTACATCGTCATCTATTGTGCACCGATGCAAACAATATATGCACATGTAATGTATATTTTTAAAATTTTCTAATAATATTAGTAGACAACTTCGCATTATGTTGTTTCATCATGTGTTTTCTTATGTTATACATTACACACCCTTGCAGTTCAAGAATTGTAGGTTTATTGCAACAAATGAAGACTGTAGGATAACATTTTTTTCATTCCTATGCTAATACCCTATGCACGCAACCTTTTAAGTTTTTCATTATCAAATTGGCTGATTTTTTCTTAAATATTAATTTTACACCATGATCATAAAAGGGTATATATTCGTATAATATTTTTCAAAAAAAAAAATAAAAAACTAGATGTACTGTGAGCAGTGAGCTCACTAATTGATACCCCCGCATCCATTTGTATTATAATGGCAAAGTCCACGTTTTGCTCTGGGAGACCCTATATAAGTGCCATATCAAAAAGTAAAATAGGAGGTGCACGATGGCATAATGTGATAAAAATCTGTGAAAGTATCATTAAATATTATTCAGCGGTATATGAGGAGAATCAGATGCGGGAAAGAGATGGGTACCCTCCGATCAATAATATAGAAATAAATGGCAGTGTCAATGATTTGCTATGGAAAACCCGCCGAAGTATGTTTCTGATCAAAAAGTAAAAAAGGAGGTCACAATGGTACTGTGTAACAAATATTCTGTGAAAGTCTCGTTAACTTTCATTCAGCGGTACATGTATAAGAGGAGTTGTGGATAAGAGATGGGTACACCAACTGCATGACGGACGGACGTACAAACAGTCTGGGGTACAAACGGACATCCCGATCACTATATACATGTACCCTCCCGCTTTACAAGCACATGAAATGAGAATTGTGTGTTCATGATTTTATGTTGTACACGCCATCAACCTAAAGACAAAAAAAATTACTATTGTTTCCTGTTACCTGACCAACCCTACATTTAACCCTCACGAATATTTTTTTTTTACTTTTTCATCTTCTTGGGCCTTTTTTCCAAATTATTAGGTCCGCCAAATATTTAGTGTTTTTGCAGATGAGTCTCAGAAGCGTTTGAATACAAGGCTTGGGCAGACGTAAACGTTGACCATTTATCATGGTTTGTTTGAGATCAGCAATTATGTTGTCTCTGAAATTTCTACCCTGTAATCATTTCAAAGAATCTAGAAAATATATCATTATATTATATATTAACAAATATATTAACAAACTTGCTTAAGTGTTTGACTGTTAATATACTGTTTTCTTGTTATATAAAATTTAAATAATAATTTTAATTTAAAGCATCATTGAATTTGTGTGTTTTATAATTTTTCTTTTCAAAATATTTTCATCAAAACGCTTGAATATCATGATGCCAACCCCTATTTTGGCCAGAGGACAGAAAACAATGGTATTTTTTCTTTTGGTCTTAACAATTTTTTTAAAAGAAAATTATTATTTCTCAACATCACCAATACAAACATTATCAATACTATTAATCCATGATCTTTGATTCTTGTAATTATTTTTTTTTTTTTTTTTTTTTTTTTTTTTTTTTTTTTTTTTTGTGATGTTCTGAAAGTACAGAGTCATCACATTTAGAAATGAATTTGTTTTATTCTTCAATGGAGAAATAATAATATACAATGTACAATTCAATAATATTTTATAAGAATAAAGATTTTTAAATATAAATAATATCATGAACATAATATACAGTAAAAAAGATATTATTCCATTTTTAAAAAATGTAAGTAAAAGGTATAATATGTAAAGAGGATGAGAAAATCAAGAGGCCTGTGGACCACACCATTCACCCGTGTCACACTATTACCTCTCCCTGATCAAACAAGTATGAACATTAATTCCTAGATCTTGCCTACTTTTTACACAATAGTTATAAAATATGGCTGGCATATTTGCTGTTATTTTTTTTATAGTGAATGTAGATGGTTAGTGAGTATAATTTACCAATGTTTATTAATAAATTTCTGTAAAATAAAACTCTTTTGGTAAGGGCATGTACATGTAAAAAAAAGTCCACTATAGTAAAACTATGAACTTCTATAAGTTTGAAATACTCTTGTATTCACAGTCCTTTCCTTTGAGATCTCTTCTAATAACCCAAATTGGAGCCTTTTAATAAAGTCATCCTTCATGTATCAATTGCACATGTCATTAGACTTATAGTGCAGTTATATTTAAGAAATATATTCAATACATACATCAATCCTAACAGTTCCTTATAAAAATCCTTTTATCAAATGTTTAGCCTTCTGTTGTGTTCTTATCAATCTAGGGGGAAGGATAAAAAAACTTGAATTAGATTCAATATTTAAAAACCTTGAACATATTTGATTTAACAAGTTAACTTGAAAAAGCCTCAAATGCTGTTCTGAAAAAATTAGAAAGGCTAACAATGGATTCTTTCAACCACACATACATACATGCAATATGGCATATACATAAATAAAGCAGCCAAACTTTGATCAGAAGAGCTTACTGTAGCCTCTATGTCACATGAGAAGGAAGAAATAATACCATAAAATCACTTATTTTCATGGGTTCAAATTATCGTGGTTGGAGGAAAAAATCTTAGTTCCTGGGGATTTGATTTTGTGGATGTAGAATCAAGAGTATTTATGTAACATTTTACATTTCATGGTGGATATAAATTATCATGGGTCTCCTCACACTTCAAAAACAATGAAATTTAAACCACCATGAAAATTTGTGATTTCACAGTATATCACAGGCATATATTCAGATCTTAACAGAACCCTTCTTCTGTCAGTTTCACATTTCCATCACTGTCAATTTCATGAGTTTGTCCACTTCCTCCACAGATCCTTATCCAGCTGGAAGTTTGGATTTTATTTTCTCCATTTTTCTCAACATTGAATCCACCATACATCCCTGGAACAGGGAAGTAGAAGCTACCCTTCTCAAACAAATATGCCACTTGAGGAAGAGTCTGTTTATTGTCCTTTATTAAATTTTCAACTCTCTCCATAATGACTTTATGTAAGCCTTCTTCGAATTTCTGTATCATTTTTTCTTTCTGTTTTATTTCTTGTGGGATTTTAATCAGCTCCAAAACATCTTGAGGGAGCTGCGACTTTACCCCAATGTCATACGCTGTCTCCCCTGCAGAATTCTTGAGGCATTTAGCAGATCCAATTTGAAGCAGTTTTTTGAAAACATCCTTGGGAGCAGATCCAAGTGCAGCATAATGAAGTGGTGTGTTAAGAGTGGTCTCTATGTTTTCTTCTACACACCTGGTAGAATTAGCCATTTCTTCATCACCATCTACAGACTCAAGCAGTTTTTCCCATTCTTTATTCTTTCCTAAATTATCTATATTTTCACGTAGGTTTCCCATGTCTCCTCTAAATACACTCTTCTTCACTGTTATTGGATAAGACATCCCAGGATCTATTTAAAAGATCAAGATGTGCATTGGAAAACATATTGCAATGTTGTTGAATTAAAAGGAAAACAGATAAGCTGAGTACTTTCAGAGAATAAATGTACTCCTTGATCAAAAAATAAAACATGTTTTACAATCCTCAACAGCAGTTCTCCATATGTAATACATGTAATTACATATTTTAGAATTTGCAATATATATGATAATATATAATATAAAAAAGATTATCTGTTTTTATAGAATTTTTTTCAGCTGAAACTAAGAAGATGTTCATCTTTTTCAGACATTCACAGGGCCAAAGAGGCCCTAAGTGAATCATGTTCTATTTTAGCATGTTTTAGGTTAACATGGTTAATGTTAAATTGTTATCACATGAAAACTATTTTTGAAATCTTGCAGTTTTTGCCTAGGTCAACAATGGTTTTTTTTAATTCATATTAATTTCACATTAACCTAAAACACATTTTTATAACATCATCTTTAACATGCATAATTGGGAAATTTAATTGAACAATAAAAGAAAATTAAAATTTTACACAGTGGCGGATCCAGAGAGGGAGTTACAGGGGTTGCAATGCCCCCCGCTCTTTGGATTTGTAAAAAAAAGAGAATGAAGAAAGTCCAAAATTTTTGTTGTATTTTTACTATAGAAAATGTTCAGAGAAAGCCTAATTTTGTAATATATAAAGAAATTTGGTTGTGAAAACAAAATGAAACCCCACCTCCTTTACAAAATAGGATTTTCGGGTTTTGAGATTTATTTTCCTCTATTTTTCAAAAATCTTTAGGATTATAATTCATATAAAGTACTAGCCGCAGAACTGTAGCTCTACGAAAAAATATATATTGACAGACCAGAGAGCTACAGTGCCACCCATTGAAAAAAACTATATACCCCCGGTATTTATTGCGCACAAAAAAGTGTGTTCGGTTCTGGATTAATTCTTCCAAAGTCTTAAATTACCTCAATTGCAAAAAAGCTAGATTAAAAAAAACAGTCCTTACTCCTCTATCAGAAACTCTCGTAGTTTACATCTGTACGAGGCGCATTGGACCGAATTATCTTGCAAACCAAAATGGCAGTATAAATAGACGAAATTTTCGATGATCTCAATTTCAGGGCCAGGGGGGCTATTAATAACAATTATAAGGAATGTTTTGTTGTGGAAACAGTGAAAGAATAAGTTAGAAACATGCAGTTAGTTACATTTTGAGATGACAGTTTTAAAAACACGGAGATATAAATCGAGAAACAGTGCACTTTTTTGTGCGCAATAAATATACAGTTTTTTTCAATGGGTGGCACTGTAGCTCTCCGGTCTGTCAATATATATTTTTTTTTTTGGAGAGCTACAGTTCTGCAGCTAATAAATAATATTCATGTTTCACCCTTATTCTCTTTAGAGAAGTGGACAGGATGTAGGCGATAGCCTGTCCACTTCTCTAAAGAGAATAGTTTCACCCTCAACAGATTAACGTTTAAAATTTCATTTACAATACATATGTTATAGTAACACTTCTATATCATGATCATCGGCATCTTCTATTGATAGGAGAGTATCGAGAACATGTAACCTTTTTATTATACGGTAAATGTATTGTCTCTTTAATATCCACAGACACAGATAGTACAGAATCAGTGCCCCGCCCCTTTATTCCCCTTTTCATTGTGACAATTAAGATAGATTATGTAAACCGAATAGCAATTTTTAGAATAAATATTTTACAAACAATAAAAAGAAAAATCAAGACTTACATTACTACCAATACTTGCAACACAGTGGCAAGACCCTCAAGTCAATATTTTTCTTTTTGTTTTGGCAATATGTCAAAACCGGAAATACTTGTCCCCTATGTTTTGACTAAACCGGTAATGAACTTTCTAATTCCGGAAAAAAAACGACAATCCTTTCAGATCTTAATTTAGTCACATAATCTTGATGAATTAGCAAAAAATTCATTTCAATTCATCCTAATAAATATCATTCGCAAAATCCATTAGGTTACTGTATATATTAATTAAAGAATATAATTAAGATACCAAACCAATGGGTTAATTAATTGATGTTCGCAAGCCTATTTTTCAGCTACGGACCCCCCCCCCCCCCCCCCGAGGGCTTATTAGACATTTTTTTCACAATTTATATTTAGTACACTTATTCAACATGTTTGCAATATGAACAAATTTTTCCACAAAAAAGACTTTCCCTCTTTAAAATGGGTTATTTTTTGTGGATTGATTATTTTGGGGTTTTGAGGCCCTACCTGTGGGATTTTTTGTAAAAATTAAATGCAGTACATCATTCATAAAAAACCTTTTAGGTTTTTATCCAAATATTTTTTTATTAGATGTGTTCCACAGATAATGTGCTATAGCAAGAGTTCCTATTTATCCAATTTTTCACATGGTCTTTAAAATCGGAGTAATTAAATGCAGTACACAGTAGGCCAAATATTGATGTTACAGAAACAAGGGTTCCTATTTATCCACTGGCGGAGTTAAATGGGTGCGTGGGGGTGGACCCCCCCCCCCCCCCTAAAATTTTCAAAGTGTGATAATTATGACTAATATTGATAATACCACATTTTGGTACATAACTAAGCAAAACCACTGTTATTGTGTCTGGATTTTTAAGTACACGAAAACCCAGGAGTTTCCGGGGGCTTCGCCCCCTGGGCTCCCACCATTCAAAGTATGATATGACACTTTTAACAAAACTAATTGAAAAATATGCACTATTTTTGTGCCTGTTTTTATTACTCTTAAAATACACGAAAATCCAGGAGCTCTCAGGGGGCGAAGCCCGTTATGCAAATTATCCCATGTTTCCCACTATCGTTGGTGCCCTGGCATTCTATACTAACTAGACAGTGATTCTTTAAATAAATATTTTAACAAACAAGAAGAGAATTGATAAACTTCGGATGACGACACATGGGTGCACTTTTTATTGCCGAAAAAAGATCGACCGAAAATCTTGAAATAGCTAGAAAACTGTCGTGACGGTCCTATTTTTACCCAGAGAAGCGCTCCCAACTTTCTTTTATTTAAGAGGTCCAATGATTGAAAAAACCAAAGGAAGGAACAACATTGGTAACTTTTATGTTGAAGTTGAAATATGGAAACCTTAAATCTGATGCACTGAAAAAAATAACTAGTCAAATTACTAAGAAGACTGGTAAATTCATTTTCCATACACTCATTACCTTGAAGTTTTAACAAATTATTAGATTTGATAATATTAGTAAATCAAATTATTATAACTTTCATTATATCAAATTACACGTTTTACATTTGTATATATATGACAGATATATTCACTATCTTGATTTGTTATAACAGATTTACAAGGTACATTTGTTAAATAAATTAACTATGTTTTTCTTTCAGTGTGTTCTATAACAAATTACTAATTTGATATACAACACTGCTGTAAACAATTTGATATAAAGGCATTGACTACACATTTGATTGGTAATAAATGTAATAACTTACAGTTATGTAGGTCTACTTTCATTTAATAATTTGATATAATTCCTTTGAACTTTTTACAAAACGAATTTGTTATATCAAATTATATATGTACCTTTTTATAACAAAAATTAATAATTTGTTCATTAAACAAATTTTTTGTTCAATTTGAAAATATTTTAAACAAATTTTCTTTTTTGAAAAAAAATTTGAAATGTTTTCCATGCAGGGTAACACTTATTATAAAGCCAAAAATCAAATTAAAAAAATGCTACTAATGTACTGATTTTCCAAACGGAAAACCAAATAATTAGAAAAAACTGTTCATATCTTATAATTTGCAACTGTCAAAGTTTTGGCCAATAAAAATAAGGCTTTAGTTATGGACCTTTTTAGAGCTTTTACTTTTCTTTTATGTAATGTTTCTTTTTACCCCTTATAAAAAAGCCTCTTACACAAAAGAATTGAATGACACAAATTCATTAATGTTCATATCATATATATTATTAAAACAAGGTGTATGGACCCACTGCTTATAGATACAACTATGCATTTATTTCGTCAATTTATCATTACGTGATGTGAACATATTTTTACGTTATGTCCATTTTTTATGGGATGATAATATATCTAACATCATGCAAATTCTTTTTGAAGTAAATACATCCTTTCATTATGTCAGCACTTCATAACTTGAAGTAAAAAATTAATTATGTGAAGTGATAATGTGTTTACATTGTGTCAAAACTTTATTACGTGAAATGAATGTTTCTTTACATCATTTTTTATATATGTGAGGTCAAAATTGCATTACGTCAAGTAAATTGTTTTTATAATTATACATCACATATGGGTTGAACCCATTCCTTTTTGAGAGTGTATATTTCTATCATATCAAAGTATTCAAAATAGCTTTATCATGTCACATGTGTGAGGTGAGTACATCTTACCTTTATGAGAGCTTTAGAGAGAGAGAGAGAGAGAGTGTATAACATAACGTGAACATATCTTTATATTATATCAACACTTTATTACAAATAAAACAATTTATATATTATAACGTTATGCCAACTCTTTCTTATGTGATTTAAAATTATCTTTATATTGTGTTAATCTTTATCATGTGGATTCCAAGTTCATTACCTGATGCAAAAATACATTTACATTATCTCAAAGCTGTATATCTAGTATATAATAAATGTTGACGACCGTGTTTTAATGACTGGTAAGGGGGGGGGGGGCGTGATTGATTAGGACAAATTACAGGCACATAATATCAAGCTTCTAAGAATAACTTTAAAGGGATAGAAAATGTAATGTTAATTGAAAATTATCATGACATTGATGTTTGAAATATAGAAAAATATAATATATCTGTAAAAAAAAAACAAATAGAATTTGTAAAAGGATTTTCGTGGACATTTTTTTTCTTGGCTTGTCTGTTTTTTCACAAATGATTTTTTTTAATATTTTAAAGATTTCTAATCTGTAATTTTTTTAATCATTCCATAGTTCTGTGTACATGTCAAAAATGTCCAAAAATCAATTGAATTGTTTATAACAGATTAATAATTTGTTATAACAGATTATTAATTTGTTATAACAAATCTAGTTTATTTGTTATAACAAATTTTCAACTTAATTCAGCTAAACTTAATGTGAACAAAATTACTAAAAGTTTGTTTTATAAAAAAACCAATTGAAAATAATGATTGTTATATCAAATATGATAATTTAATCATCAGTTAAAACAAATTATTAATTTGTTTTAATTCACAGTCGCAGTGTTAAGGCTTTGCATGTTTTAACAAATTGATAATCTGTTTAAACAAATTCATTTAAAGATACATGCTGCGAAATCGCTAATCGCTTCCGCCACTTTTCTCTCCCGTACATTTTAGTTAAATCAACTAGATTTTTCTTATAAAGGCAGTGTGTTCTGTAACGAATAGTGAATGGACATAATGTACCGAAGAGTGCGCACAGTATGGCATATTTTCACATCAGTTAATAAAAACTAAGATTGTCATGAAAAGTAAGCATAACGAAATGCAAGTTATAAAATTGTAGTATGTGTAAATGTCATAAATTTGATATAATATAAAGGAAAGTTAACACATGCAATAGTAGTGTGGGTTAATGTCATAAAGAGTGTACATAATGTAATGGAAGGTTGGCACAATGCAATAGTCCTTTGAATTCTTTACATAATGTAATGGAAGGTTCACAATGCAACAGTAGTGTTCTGCTATAAGGCAGTGATCAATTATGTGTTTGTAAACACTTTTCTACTGTAAAATTATGGAAAATTGAAGCCCTAAATCGGCAAAGGATTACTCAACCCTAGTTATTTTTCAATAAAAGGGTTTGAAATATTTTATATATTGTTTCTTTGAATTTTTCAAAAAAATGTCTCCACTTGCCAAAGGAGAGGTTTAAATTTTGTATACCCACAGGAAGAGGTTGTTACAAGGCAATGCAACACGGGACCTCGGTTTATACGAAATATGAAAGCTCTAGTTCTAACTGTTCAAAATAATAGCGAAGATTTTTTTTTCAAGTGTCTAACTTTAAGGTCAAAAGGTCAAAATTAGTTACATGCACTGAAAGGGTTTGTTGAAATGAATTCACAAGTGAAGAACAATAGCCCTAGTTCTAACTGTTTGAAAGTTATGGCCAAGATTGTATATGGGACGTATTCTAGCTGTAATGAGGGCTTGTCCGGAGACACAGTTAAATTATTCTAACTACACATTTCGATACACTAGCTTGCAAGATTAAAAACTTCACGAAATGAAAATAAATCTTGAAAGTCAAATAAAATGTTTTCATTGGATTGTATATTTTACAAAAGAACCATAAAAACGAAGTTTAATTCGGATCGCAAGTATCAAAAATTAACCCGAGAATGCCGTCTCTGACTGGAGGCGGCGATTTCCCAGTTTTCATCATTTCTGGCGGTACGTTACTTGTCTTTCGTAGACTGAGCTATATTTAAAAAAAAATGTATCATGAAATTTTCAAAAAAAAAAAGCGTGTTCTTGGCAGATAAATTAATGGTTACTTGAAAACTTTTCGAAATAACATTTAAAGTGATATCGTTCTCTTACACCCGAAGCAATCTGCAACGTCAAAAAAATACAAATGTCAACGGTTCAAATTTTTGGAGAAAATATTCCAATTACCGGAATCAAATTTTTAGATTAAACGAAACGGTTATAGTTATAAATGTGACAATAAAAGTATGAAATATATATGCACAAAATATATGCATTTTTTAATAAAAAACCTTATGTTTCTACGCTTTCCGTCTGTTTTCTCTAATTTGCAGAGAATCTTGTTTCTTAGCCCTGTCTTTTATTTTAGTTACTGTTATTCACATATACATAGAGAAACCGTTTAAGTCATTTTAAATGCTAAGGATGAGAAGAGGGGGGGAGGAATTCAGGATCAAAATACTTGATAATAGTCCAGTGCGGGGCCAACGCAGCCGCCATTTTTCACAAATTCGGATTTCAATTATATAAAATGTTATAAAATTCATATTCATCAAAGCATAAACAAAATTTGCCAAAATAGAATTATAAAGAATTTTCCTTTCCATTAAAAAGCTCAGTATTCTTTTTAGGATTTTAAATATAACATACCAAATTTTAACAGCAACTTCTGGGTATTGCGCCGACTTCCTACACCAGACAATGAAATTTGTCTTTAGAATTGGAATAAATTGTGTAGTTACTCCATATTTGTCCATAAAATTATTAGATAGTGTTGGTTTAACTATTTACGAAAATTCATTAATGTAAAGAAAACAAGGCTTGTCTACGGAATTTTGTATACAACCTTCACATGTAATATCAAAATAGTAAAAATTTTACACAATGCATGATATCTAATTTAACCTTTATTAAACAGTTATTTCAATAAATGTCATTTACAAAAAGACAAAAAGATAAAAAACGCATTTTGTCCAAGAACCCAGTCAATTATGTTTTGCGTTAGCGCGACATCGCATTCACTAAACGCGCCGTCGCGCTATTTGCCGCGCCGTGCTAAACAATAGCGCTACATGTAATACAATAAATACTAATAAAACAACACGGTGGCGCTTACACTTTGCACAGGGCCGTCAGAGAGGCACTGCAAAGTTGTGTTAGCGCGACGGCGTGTTGTGTAAAATTGTGTTACGCCACAGCGTTGCAAAAGCTCGCGAAATCGCGACTTGTGCAAAGTTATGTTAGAGCGACGGCGTGTTGTGTGTTAGCGCATCGTTTTGCAAAGTTGCAGGCGCCACGAATGTATGCAACTTGCGTTAGCGCGACGGCGTGTTGTGTGTTAGCGTGATGTCTCGTTTATCTGAACGCGATGTCGCGCTATCGCAAATGGCCCTATCCGGACACCATAGTCAATAGATTGATTGATTTTATATTGTTTAACGCCGAGTCGGCAATTTTTCAGCCATATTTCGGCGGCCATAGTCAATAGATGTTTTGTTATAGTTTTTACCTTAATTATAATTACATGTATCTTGTGCTGTTTATACGATGCAAATGATATGCACTGTGGTAAACCAATGACTGCAAGTTTAGTTATCCCGCCTACAGTGTGACGAAGCGCAATTTGCTTATATTTCATGACAGGTCCAGTAGGCCTATATATCATTCTGTAGTCAAACATCGATTTTTTATGTCCGCTCAGTAAAACATTGGAAATGTTCTATTTTTTTAGCAAAGATGTATATTGGACGTAATTTTTAAAGATAAAACAATAATCTATGATCTTCGTCTTATTCTATAATCTAAAAGCACTGTATATCATTTAAAAAATGAATTTGTATTTACATGTTTTATTCATTTTTAAGTTTTATTCTTGAATAAAGAAATAAAATATACAATTGAATAAAATCAAATAAGATTAAAGATTTTAGAATATTAATATCATGAATATACAACTAAATAAAATACCAATTCTTATTTTTGAAAAAAAATCCAGTAAGGGGTAGTATAATGATAACAAAAATGAGTGATGTAAAAATGAAGAGGCCTGTGGTCCACGCCACTCACCAATGTCACATTAACCTCTCTCTGAACAAAAAAACTATGAATGCATATTTCTGGTTCATACCTACTTTCCATACAAATAATAAAAGATGTTTGGTATATTTGCTATTATCTTTTTAAGTAAAAGTATACATCCATTAGTAGCTGATTAGTAAGTATAATACCAGTATTAATGAATAAATTGCTATTACTATAAGTTAATAAAGCTATACTATTTCTGCTTTACACTGATTTCTATAAATGGAAAAATTCTTTAATTTTTCAAGAAAAAATAGACTTCTTTCTCTTTCAAAGAGTCATAGCTGTCTTACCGACGACTCGGCCTACACAAGTATTTAAAAGGAAATCACCTGTTTCTATTTGTAGATACATGTACCTTTTCAAATCAAAATCAATCCACATGTATGTAATCATTTGTGAACCAGTGTTAATTTCCATAGTTGCAAGTTTGTTGCATGACAGTAATTTTACTTGTCCGATACTCTTATTCTAAACAAGATTTTGAAATAAAAAAATAATAAAACAGGCTAGCAGCTATGACTTTTGGTCATTAAATAGTTTAAGACTGTTTTTCCCCAAGATACTTTCAATGTGTAATGTTGCATTTTATATCTCTTTTAAAAATTAATTATACGTGTATTATAAAATAAAAGAAGAAAACATAGGAAAATGCTCACGAGAAAAAAATAAATAAAACGTAGTACACGCAGTGTGAGACCTGAACCCACGCTCATTATACAGGTGACTCTCGATCTCTCGAAGTTCAAGGGACCGCAAGAAAAGTTCGAGAGATCGAAGGGTTCGAGAGATAGAAAGTAAATAGTAAATAAAATCCGGAATTTTCAGTTCCGATCATAGAAGTTCTACTTTTATAGATACCGGAAGTATCTGTAAATAAAATCATTGCACGTTTTCTATCGTATTTCAAAGGTATAATATTTACTTGATATCAACAACAATGATCGTATTTCGACTAAATAAAACAAATTTGTAAAGTTTCAATGCTTAATTGTTCTTATTTGCTGATTACATGAAGTCCGAATAGCAATTGTCGGTTTGACTATTCCGCGGCTTGACCGGGTCCTTCACCCTGTTCACCAGTGTTCACAAGATTTTTCTTAATCGGTATAGTCCTTGAGAAAGGAATTTCTTGTGCAATATTTGCCATACTGGGATTATGTAGACTCTGATAAAAGTTCATAGCCAATAGGAACTTATTTATTCGACTATAACATGTATAAATTATTTTCCAAAAACTTATCGTGACGGTCTCGTTTTCAAATCAAAATAAGTTGTGAATTAAAAAAACAGTTAATAATTTACCAATAATAATCAATTAATTATATCAACACACCGACTACCCACAGGTGAAGTGTCATCTATGTAAACACCCAATTAAAACACCTCAATGCCAAGCCCAGACGTTCACTGTTATCCAGGTAAGTTCAGACTGCATCAATTTTACGCTTGATTAGCTTGTATACACACGCAATCAAAACTTCGAGAGATAGAGAGTAAAATTCAATGAATTATGTGTAACGGGACCCATTTTGGTTCGAGAGATAGAGAACTTTGAGAGATAGAAGTTCGAGAGATCAGGAGTAAATTTGCTTAATTATATAGAGGAAAAAAACGGGACCGGAGGTTCACTTCGAGAGATCGAGAACTTCGAGAGATCGGAGTTCGAGCCATCGAGAGTCACCTGTATCTTCAATCCAGCAATCATACCACTATGCCACGAAGTCTTGGTCATCAATTGGATAAAATTAAGACAGATTGTTGAATTTTAAAATAATTTTAGAAGAAAAATTAAATACACATTTTCAACATTTTCAATATGAAGACCACCTTTAACCAAAATTATCTAAGCGTAATGAAGTGCAGTCATATCCAAATAAAATTATTCAGAAGTTGTTTTTCTGGTTAAGGGTGGTCTTTTCCTACAGTTTGTCATTGTTTAGGGGGGAAGTATTTACTATATTCTCCATATAAACTGAACGATTTTTATAACTATCATAAGAGGGAACTATTAATAATTGAGTATTATTTTTGTGTGAGTTGCTTTAAGGCATGTAACATTGTATGACAAAATTTTTGTCACACAAAGTATTTAAAAAAATCACTACTGGAGTAGGCGAAAGTGACTATCAAATGCGCTATGGCTCTTTTATCAAAATTGATACAATTATCTATTTAGATCCAAAATTTAATTGGAAAATAAAAGCTTTTTTTCTTAATTCAACAGGATAAGAAGGCAAAACAATGCAATTGTTCCAAGTCCTTTACAACGACATTTCTTCTAGTGACCCAAACTAAGTTGGAGGACTTAAATACAGTATTGATAAAGAATACATACATGCAACAAGATTTCATATCAGTTATTTTGTTTCCCACAACCTTACACTAATATATAATTCAGCATAAAAGTTGTTATGTCAAATGTTTAGCGTGCAATCATTCTTATCCCCACCAAATCCAAAAAATAATAGAATATGAAAACTCAATTTACACTACTTTAAAAACTAGTTTGACCTCAAATGTTGAAAAAAAACTCAAATGTTGTTCTGAAAAAAAACCTCACAGTGGATAGTTTCAGCCACACATTTACACATATATACGATATGACATGTATGTAATCACAGAACTAGCAAATCTTTGATCTGAAGAGCTCACTTTAGCCTCTATAAGTGAGCCAAAAGTTTTGAGAAATAAATTACATTCAGTATATTCAGATCCTAACAGTATCCGTCTTCCGTCAGTTTCACATTTCCCTCACTGTCAATTTCATGTCTTTGTCCACTTCCTTCATATACCCTTATAAAACTAGAGACTCGGATGGTATTTTCTCCTTTTCTCTCAACATTGAATCCACCATACATCATTGGCACCATGTAGTGAAAGCTACCCTTCTCAAACAAATATGCGACTTGAGGAAGAACCTCCTTATTTTCGTTTATCAAATTATCAACTCTCTCCATGATAAGTTTATGTAAGCCCTCTTCAAATTTCTGTATCATTTTTTCTTTCTGTTTTATTTCTTGTGGAATTTTAATCAAATCCAATACATCTTGAGGGAGCTGCGACTTCACGCCAATGTCATACGCTGTCTCCCCAGCAGAATTCTTGAGGCATTTAGCAGATCCTTTTTTAAGCAATTTTTTAAAAACATCCTTAGGGGCAGATCCAAGTGCAGCATAATGAAGTGGTGTATTAAGAGTGGTCTCTTTGTTTTCTCTCACAGACCTAGTAGAATTAGCCAATTCTTCATTGTCATCTACATACTTTATCAGTTTTTCCCATTTTCTTTTCTTTCCTGAAATATCTATTTTCTTTAGCAGTTTTTCTCTTTTTTTTGTTAAGACACCCTTTTTCACTGTTATTGGATAAAAAATCATCCCAGGATCTATCAAAAAGAACAAAAAATGAAGTTGGAAAACACGCATTACGAAATTCCAATTTTATTGAATTTATTGAAAGGAAAACAAATCCTCGAAGTTCAATTTTATTGAATTTATTGAAAAGAAAACAAATCCTCAGAAACAGTTCTTCTATTTAATAATTGCATATTTAAGATTTGAGTTTGCACTCTATTTGAAATATCGAAAAACAGCTAAAAAGATTGGCAATTTTTTGTAGAAATTTTTAGGATATTAGGAAATTGATGCAATTCAAGTCAAATGAAACTCGTAAGAAGTTTCACATTTTCAGAAATTCACAGGGTCAAAAAGACCTAATTAATGTGCACCTTGTTCTTCAAATTATTTGTGAAGTCAGCTTTACATCGTCAACAATTGATTTTAAAGGATAATAATTTTAAGTTACTCTTAAACATGTAAAAAAAATTAATAGTTTTATTGTGGACATGCCTGTTTTGGGCAATTTATTTTTGAAAAATATTCATTTATCATGATGTACAGTGTTTACTTTAACGCATATTTCTGAGTATTTTACACATAGAATACTTTTTACCCTTGAAACATCAGACAGAGGGTCATCATGGTGTAGCAAAAAAACTAAGCAAATTTTTAAAATTGTGTTAAATAATGTTGCTTTGCTGGAACCAGTAAATTAATTAATTAATTGGCAGTAATTGGAAACGACGATCCATTTAATTATTTGAACAATCTATCTACCTCTCAACAAAACATAAAGTCCGAATAAAAAGCGACATTGGCATGTTTTTTTTCTTTTCTCAAAAGACTAATAATGGTAATAAAAAGTTGAGCAAAGCTCAAATCATTTCATAATCAGTCTTGCAGAACGTATAAACAACTTTTAAGTGTCGTTTTTTGATTGACATGTATTCCGCGAAACCCTAATGGAGTAATATGTAAAAGGAAGTACAATTATTATAATTTACGATTTCATTTGTAACCTTTTCATTATACAGCTAAATGTTTTGTGCCCCTCCTTCATATATATACCCACAGACCCGGAAGTTGTGCCCTGCCCCTTTTCATTCCTTTCCCGTGTCAGGTGAGTGACAATTAACATGATTAACGTAAGATTTTGTAAGGCGAAAAACATATTTTTAGTAAGTATTTTACAAACAATAAAACAAAAAAAATAAGACTTACATTACAAGCAATACTTAGTGGCAAGTCAGTGACAGACAGTGTTGTTCCTTTTTTTGGCAAAATATCAAAACCGAAAATGCATGTACTCAAGATTTGTTAAAATCTTAGAAGATGAACTTTCAAAATCCGGAAAAACATGACAATCTGTTCAGATCTTCATTTCACGTCACTTTAACTTGATGTACGCAAGTGAGTTAAGGCTAAATATGGGTTTTTCTATGCAAATGAGCTAATAAAAATGCATAAATTGTGTATTTTATGTACAGAGAAAGTTCAAATTGATTTTCTTATGCATAATCCACTATTAATGCAAGTGCACATATATATATTACTTGTTCTTTCCCATTCAAGGTAATAAAACACATCAACAAAACAACGTCAGCGCAAGGGCATATCCTATTTAATTTAAAGTAAATAAAGTATAATATAAATGAAAATATTCTAAAAATTAATAAAATTGCTGCACAAATCTTATGCTCTTCTTCAATCGATAAAAATTTTACTAAACTTACACTGGACTGTACATTTTTACCCTGTTTCAACTAAGAACTGTACGATTAGTAACTAAACAATTGCAGTGGCGACATTTGTGCAGCAATATTTTAAATCTTTGGAATAATCTGCTTTCCTTTATACCTTCTTTCTGAAAAACAAAGTAAGGTATGCCCTTGCGCCGAAGCGATTTTGTTGATGTTTCTTATAAACTTGTGTAGTAAAGACTGATGACGTCATAATATGACGTCATAATGTGTACTGGCAATCGCATATTTACCAAGAATGTATTAAAAAACAAGTCTTAACATTTTCTTTGCGGTATGTATAGCAATTATGGGTCTAAATTAATTATTTTGCATAGAAACCTCCATACGTAGCCTTGCGTAGAAACAAATAATTTATTCCATCATGATTAATATTATTCGCATAATCCACTTTGGTACTACAACGTATATATTTTACTTGAAGGTAAAATGTCAAATTCATAGGTGCCTTTTAAATCGCAAATCCTATTTTATTTTTATTTATTTAATTTTTTTTTTTCTTTTGGTCAATAAGATATCATATTTTGTAACTTGTATATTGATTCATCTTGTCAAAAGATTTAAAATTTACTGCGACAAATAAGCCACATACACACCTCTGTTACAGTGATTTATTTGACGAACTTTCTCAAGCGAAATTTATTTTTAAAAGGAAAAAATAATAAATTATTGTAATACATTGAAATACGTACAAATGGTATTCAATGTATTAATTTCTTCCTTATGTAAATAAGAACTAGTCCAGCTGATGCATAAGAAATCTAAAAACATGTAAGACATGTAAGGATGAAATGAATTCATGGTTTTATTTAGTAGAAAACATAGATTATAAAACATTACATTATGTGTGTTAGCGAATTGAAAAATGAATAAAACCGTGCTACAAGAACTAACTAACTAAAACTAATATAAAAGTAAATGCTCTGTATCCCGCATGCATTCAAGTGCACGGGATTGGACAACAAAACAATTTCGAAGTTTTCCATAGGAATTCGGAGTCTTTTAAAACAATGATTAGTTATATCATATAAACTATATAAACATCTTCATTCAAGCTTCTTCAATCATCATGAATATTGGCTTGCAGATTAATTCCTTATTCTATGTGTTCATACAGAGATATTTAAAGTATACATATCCTTAGAGATAGGGTTTGCTTGAAGTAAAAGACTCTACAGAGACTGCCACCTCTGTTTAATACCCGGATGTTTTACTGACTATAGACAACATTGGCCAATTTACAACTAGATTGTTTGACAATGACAATGACGAGATAACTTTAGCTTTTCCATCGCCAACTATCCTGATTTATGCAGAGAGTAATGTTATATAATGATGGTTATCACATGTTTATGGTGTTCTTGTTCCCCAGCTAATTCGTTACTCAAGAGTTTGCTCTGAATACGATCAATAAATTTGAAGACATACTATTACTAAAAAGTTGATGCTACAGTACATATGTATTTTCAACAACCTCGTTTAAAGTAGGCATTTGGTAAATTAATGCTTTTTTTTTTGTTATAATGACCTTGTTAATGTTCAAGTTAAAGCCCTCAGTCTATTTAAAATTAAAGATTTTACAAAAAAGAGAAGAGGTGTGATAAACTTCGGTGATGTATGATGACACATGGGTGCACTTTTTATAGCCGAAAAAAAGATCGATTATAAAATCTGGAACTAGAGGAAAAGCTGTTTTCCTATACATGTATATTTGCAAACAGAAGCGCTCCTAACATTCTTTTTAAGGGCAGATGATATAAACAAACTTTTGTCACAAAAATTGAAAATAACAAACTGAGTCATGTTTCAATGAGTACAATGAAGAAGTTCAACGGCGTAGTTATTATCGTACTAATTTTTCATTCATATTTACACAAAAATGGAGTTTGAAGTAAAAAATATTTGTAGAGATTAATAGGGATGGCTGCGTAAAGGTAGAATTCTGAACATCATAGAGATTCACGTTGATAAATATTTCCGAGATTTATTAGTTGTATGAAACATATGGATATTACGAACATTATTCAAGATCAAAAGTCCATTAAACAATACAAATTAGGAGCAAAGCAAACACGGACCTTCAAAACATCGGAGGTGGGATCAGGTGCCATGGAGGAGTAAGCATCCCCTGTTGACAAAAATAGCTCCAGAAATATATACCAATCCAGGCATCCATTTTTTTTAATCATGTGTCCTTAATTGATAGGTCCAATAATGTATACATGTAGGTAATTATGTATATCAAAAGGAAGGCACATCAATGGTATTTGTGTTGAATTTGCAGGAAGGAAAGTTTGGCAGATTTTTGTAACGAAAGTCTGAATACTGGGCCCGGGGTGATTTTCCTGTACCTGACAACACTGCTATCATAGAGAAATAAAGAAAATTTGAAAGAAAGAAAAGTTCAAAGGGCTTAGCTATCCGCCATATTCGTATATGTAAATAATAATACATGTAGTAATAAACACGCTGCTCTGTTTTCTGCGCACTGAAATTTACCGGTGGTCATTGACTGGCAAACACTTGATTGATAACAGTAGGTCAAGTTTCATTTTGTGTACAATTCTCGAAGTTATGCGTTGATTTCCTTTGAATTCTTTACAAAAGGAATTCACATGGTCACCTATCAATTATGTTTGTAACCTTTTATGCTCGAAAAGTGAGGAAAATTGGTTAAATCGGCAAAAGGTTACTCAACCCGTTTTTATTCAATAGTGTGAAATATTTCGAGATTTATTTTTATATTTAAAAAAAAATTTCCCAGCAATGTTTCTTTATACAAAAGACTACAAAACGGTACGTATATAAATAAAATTATACGTATATATATACAATTTTTTAGAGTCTATATATACAAAAGATAATATATGATAAAATAATAAAATATGTTCAAAATAAATCAGACATTGTTTTAAACTGCAAAGGATTCAAATTGAAACATAGTACTGATGTCTTCTTCACTAATGTCCCTAAAAGGAAAACTAAATAATTCGAAAAAATGTTCATTTCTTACAGCAGAGACATGTTTTCTGAAATGTTCGAAAATTAAGGTTTGGTACATGTAAATATTGTCTTTTATTGACTTTTAATCTAAAGTTGAAAATGATTACATGACAAATTTTGTCATGTAATCATTTTCAACTTTAGATTGAAAATTAATGACTGACAAAATGCATTCACTGAATACTGAGTTTAAAAATAGTTCTGAATAAAATAAAAAAAATAAACTTTAGTATTTTTTTTAGCATAAACCCTTATTCTCATCCACCTATAGCTAGCCCCTACAACGATTTAAGGATCTCAAATTCATTGATCTGCACTGTATTTAATATAAAACGCCCAAAATGAAGCACAATCATGTTTACTTTTTACTATGCTAACCTATGAAATTATGCAAAATACACTGCAGTGTATGAGCTCAGCTCATTCTTCTTCGCGTCATCTTTAACTTCTCTGAAAAATAAAAAAAAAAATATTGACAAATCCTATATCTATACAGGCAACAAAGTTCCCGTCTCGTTCGACCTAACATAAAAGTTTAAATCTACATACGCGCGGGTGTGTTTCAATGTGTATCATTGCACGGTCGTGTGTGAGAGTATAAGGATGCACTTTGACGAACTGCTTGGGGTGCTAGGAGAATTTGGTCCCTACCAGAAATATGTCTATTTCCTTGTGTGCCTCCCTTCCATCATTGCAGCCTTCCACATGGTCAATTCTGTGTTTCTGCTGGGAATTCCAAAACACAGGTGAAATATATCTGGTATTTTTTATTTACATTTTTTTGCTTTCTCTTCAGGAATTAATCATATGTTAATTTACTGTAGTAATACGCTACAGCGTAACTTGGTTTTTTCCCATTCACATGTTAATTGCAGTTACATGTAAGTATACTGTGACATAATTATTTTTGAAAGAAAAAAAAATTCAATATGTTAGAAAGTATGAAAAGATTTTTATTTCATTTTTTACTAATGATCATTTTAATTTTATAACCGCGCCATTTGCCACTATAACTTTTGGCACACGAATTTATGAGATGTATGTTTTGAAAAATTAAATTTAAATTTCGAATTTTTAAGTTTTTTTTAAAAGAGAAAATCAATGCTTAATTCATTATTAAGGGCTCTAATCTTTTAATATAAGTTATGTCTGTGGACAGAAATTCGGTCTATTGGCATTGGTTTTCTTTGACTTTTCGAAAGACACCGGTGGCCGCTTTGCAATTATGTCATCGAATTGCTTTCCATTTTGATGTTGATGCAGTCCCTTTTAGAACTCAATATAGATCTTAATGTTGCAATGCTTGCCTGTTTTAAATGCAAATGACATGTGTGTGTGTACAAAAGAAAGAAAAAAAACCCAAACTGTCAAACTGTCTTGCTCCCGGGCAGAACTGAGAAAGAGAAGTGCTCATGGTTTTGCTCTAATAAATCCTAAAGTTCAATGCATATCCTATTGTCAGTCGCAAATGCCAACCGTTTAATTACTCGCTCAAGGTGTAAGGTGTATTATTATGATTCGACAGATAAAAGGTTTACGTATATACATTTTTTACGTATCTTTTTTATTAAGAACTGATCAAAAGATGAAAAATAATGATTGTGATGTTTTAAAAAATAGACTTGTTACAATGACATGTAGATTTCATATTGAAATTCTTTGATTTCTGATTGAATGAATTAAATTTCAAACGTAAAAGCAAAAATTTTGACATAAAACAGTTTTGAAAAATAAAGTTCAAAATCGCTCTTTTAATTGTTAAAACATATTTTATTGAACAAAATATAATCAAGAGAATTGGACACATGTCCTGCAACTTAGAGTGTCCATTCCAATTAACACAAAGAAAATATTTTCAATAAACAACACCTGATGTACATGTACAACCAACAAGTATATAATACTAATGGAGAGCAGGGAATTTTCTTTTGTGTTAATTTTCTTTGTATTGGAATAAATTCATTTTAAGAAGAAAGTGAATTTTATCTTCTAATACTCTATTAATTCTATATCAGATAATTTAACACAGGAAAACGAGGACATTTTGAAAAGGAAGAAAAAAAGTAATACAATGCATTAGACTTGAATACACATCGTCCTTTTATTAAAGTTAATATCTTAGCAAAGCTGAAACCACCAGTTACACTATAAAAAGAGGAAATATGGGTCAAAACTGGACAATATTTCATTTTTGACAGTAAAAAATGTCCTGAAGGTAAAGACATATATTTAACTATTATTTATGATTAAACATGTATGTTCGGATACACTAGTATGACTATATATAGTGAACTAGCATTACATTTTGTATATATAGAATGACCTGTTCTGAAAGTAATAATTCATTCGGTTCAGGACTGGAAAATCGAAAATACTGCGAGATGGAAGAGTATGATCTTAAAAACAAACTTCTTAGATCAGAAGATAAAACGGTAAATAAAGATGACGTTGACCTTTCAGACAAATATTGACTTTAGTTTGCGTTCAGCTACACACCAGTTTACATTAGAGAAACTTAATTAGGATAAAGTTACTAAGTAAAATTGTCATCAGTATTCTGAGGAAAATGTAAAATTTACATAACAGTTTAAATCATGCAGTTTTTTCTTCAAAAGACACGAACGGTATCTTTTAAGTTATGCAAATGCGTATATACGAGGGTTGTCGGAAAAGTTTGTGGATAATGTCAATCTTCAAAAAACTGCTTACAAGAAATTTAAAACAAGCACAATATTATGTGTACAAATATTTCTTTTATTGATTGTAACGTTTCTTTTCATTTGATTTGAACAGAAACCAATTTACTTCATTTTAAAATCAACATGTTTTGTAACCAAGGAGCACACTTAATGGAAATGTAACGTCAAAAACATAGCGTCAAGAATTCATCAAAATTACTATCCCTTTACATTTCACAAAGTATAGTCCAATACCCACTCATTGCAAATACATTTATTTAAATTTAAGCCACTAGTATTTGACAAATGTATGTGTTTAAAAAATTACATAAGTCCTTTGTAGTAATTCATAAATGATCAATGTATAATAAAATATATATAAGAAATAGCGTAGATATCATTTTTTACTCGACATATATTACAGTTCGGTACGTAATAAATTTTTATTCTATCACGAGTACGGCCCGTATTTTCATTCAAATAACTTTTTAAAAATGAAATATTTTTTTAAAGTATTCAATGCGAACATAACACGCATGCATGATGTTTCATTTGCAAAATGAAAATTACAGAGGACGGAAAGAAAACATAATAAATTTGTACTGCATAATGTAGACTAAACTGTGTGAATTAATATTTTTCCCGTCTTAACATAGCTGTGTTTTCAAAATATATTTCAAAGCTTCTGGCATCCTAGTTTTCAAATCAATGTCAATGACCCTATTCTCATTAATGTACACACATATACATTGTAGAGAGCACAGACAGAGAAAATATCATACATACATAATAAACTGTACAAAATATCATGTTAAGTTTAGACCATATTATTCTATAAAAATTATTTGTTTGCCCTCTCCCGAAATACTGTTTAAAATTGGCCCTCGTCTAAAATTGTATAACCTTCATAAAATAATAATTTTGTTTTCTTTTAATTCCTAAATTTTCTCATCCCGTCCATATGTATGTGGACGTTTTTAAGGGGAAAAAATTTCCAGCTACCTACAGACCCAGACAAACTTTATTTAAAGATGAGTCTTAGTCCCCATCTATAGTTTGTTCGACTATCAACAATAACTTATTCAATACTGAACACTTTGTAATTAAAGGAAACTGTTTAAATTTTTCTATACTTGGTCTGTATTTGAGACACAATTTGAGATATGTTTAACTGAAATTCATTACCAATCTAAATACATGTGTATGTGTGTGATCACATGAAATATTATTAGATGTATCAACGAATATCGATTAAGCAACGGCTTCAATAAAGTGCATTTAAAAACGGTTCTAAAATTTAAAAAGTTCGACAGTCAATTTAACGTAAACTTAAGGTAATATGGACCTGCACAATGATGTAATTGTTAATCGAACATTTTTCAAACCTTTACAGATGCAAATTACCGAATTACCCGAACGATACCTATCTCAGCCAGGGGCCAGAACACGATGACTTGATAAAGGCCTACATACCTACAGAGCTTGACGCAGACAACGAGATGGTGAACAAAAAATGCAAAATTTTCTCCATTCCTGTTTTAGGCAACGCTACTACAGGCATCCAAGAGAGTTGCAGTTCTTGGGTTTACGACAAATCTGTTTATGATAGCACTTTTGCATCTGAGGTACATATAATACTAATTAGTAACTGATTTGATAAAACTTAAACGACTGATTTTGTTTGTTATTAACGATTTTTTTTCTTATTAGCAAGATTTGATATGTGACAAGCAACTATGGGCATCTAACGCCAAAATGGTCTTCTTTGCTGGTGTCTTCTTCGGTGCCCTGGGTCTGGGAGCTCTTGCTGACAAGTACGATATGCACGTGTACTTTATGTAAAAATTAAAATGAGTTAATCACATACTTACTTAATCCTCTTCGTGCTGGCTAGCACATAAGACCGTCACCAGAGACTTACATGTTGACCTGTCTTGTGTCCCTCTTTGGATCTGTTCCCATGTTCAGTTATTTTCTTTTATTTCTATGTTAATCACATAGTAAAGAATTAATATGAAATAAATGCTAGAAGTGTAAAGCTTTTTAAAAGAAAATACACCCCGAAATTATTTATTTTGAGATTGTATTCACTCTCCAAATATTTATAAGGATTGGAAGAAAAAAGACCTTGATTTTATCAATACTGGTACTACTGGCTTCCAGTCTAGCTGTGTCATGGGTAGCTAACTACTATCTGTTCTGTGTTTTACGGTTCGTTGTTGGATTTTCCTGTGCAGGGACGTTCATGTCGGCTTTTGTGTTAGGCAAGCGTTTTTTATTATCATTTGTCAGAAAAAGATTTCAACAATCTTTTTTCAAAAACATACCAAATGACATTTACGTTATGTTTTGCTTTAGAAAAATACTTTAATGGTAAGATCAGTCTTAAAGGGTAATGATTCCAGTAGTTAACCTCTCTCACCAATTTCAAATTGTCATTCTGCATTACAGGGGTAGAGATAGTTGGTCCCTCTAAGCGGCTGTGGGCTGGAGTTGTCATTGAATACTTCTTTGCCCTAGGACTGGTTATCCTCTGTCTTATAGGATATCTCATCAGAGACTGGAAGTATAATGAGATAGCAGTGTCAGTTCCTGCAGCACTTCTGCTGAGTTATTGGTGGTGAGTACCAGAAGGCGTGAATTCTGTCGAAATGTCATTTATTATTGATTTGCACACACTTAATTCAGTTTTCAAACATTCTGTTTTGGTGACAGCGTTTGATAAGTGCATTACCATATATTTCTTTATATGAACTTCTTAATTACTACTTCATTATTAGCTACCATTTCTCGTTAATAATTATATTGTAAACGTTGCTGGAAGTGGTTCAAAGTATGACGGAATTTTCAATATTTATTCCCCGTATTCCTATCTGTACTTGTTCACATTCAATTTCAATGTCTTTTTCTTTTTTGACAATCCTTCAAAGGTTATTACCAGAGTCCCCGCGATGGTTGGTCAACCGTGGAAAATTTGAGGAGGCTAAAGTCGTAATTCGCAAAATAGCCAAACGGAATAAGGTACAAGTCACAGAGAAGCAACTGGACTCCCTAGAATGTGACGAAACAGCGGAAGGACAGTTATGGCATTTGTTTACATCCAGGGTTCTGTTTGTCAGAACGATCATTATTTTCTTGAATTGGTAACTACATGTATTTGCGTCATACGTTTTCAGATCTTGTGTCCAATCCCTTTGTGATTAAAATACAATAAAATATGTTCAAATCGACTATCTGCAAAATCACATCATGAATTCTTGTCGATGAAAAAGTAAAAGAAATCAATTCAAAATAATTTATTTTTTTCTTTTATGTGCAACTTATAATTTTGCGAAATGGCGTGCACATTTTTTGTCCCCCATTTTATAAAATTTCAACTCTTTTTCTTCAGGTGCGTTGTTAGTATGGTATACTACGGCCTGTCCCTTAATTCCGGGAACCTTGCCGGTGACTTTTACCTGAACTTTTTTCTGACCGGTTTGGTAGAATTTCCGGCCTATACTCTTTGTTTAGTGCTATTGGATCGTATTGGAAGAAAGAAATTGCATTGCGCGTGCATGGTGCTAGGAGGACTGGCTTGTATTTGCACCATTTTTACCGTTTTATACATTGGCAAAAGTAAGTCAACCATCTTTATCTTTTATTGATATATTACAATTTTATTACAATTTGATTACTTCACAAAGCAGTGCTTATGTACTGTAAAGTATGGTTTAAAACCCTTGTAAATTCGTTCGAATTGAAATGAACAGGGTTAAGTTTTTAAAAGAGAATTTTAAGGGAGGATCTCTATACACCTATGAAGTATAATTGATTCTGTTGCATGTATTTGTTTCTGAACATAGGCTCAATATCCAATAAAAATAAGGTTTCAAAGCATTTCACTTTCATTTTTGGAATTATTTCACATATCTAATTCATTTTATAACCCCCCTTAATTCTATATTTTTAAAAGCCTACACTGTAATGCTTTAAATTTCTATTCAAAGTTTATTGTTGTAAAATATTGAAATGAAAACCAACAAAATTAGAAATGAAAGCTGCATACATTTTTATTTGAACCAAAAAAAGACAAGAAGAAAAGCAGCATTTTCTTGAGAAGAGTCATTTTGTGACATTGTAGAGAGCCCCCCTTAAGGCTACCTCGGAAAGGTGCATGATATATTTCACATAATTAACATTGCTTAGTATGTTATACATTTTTAAAAAAGTAATTAAAAGTATGATATTTATGTTCCTCAAATGCCAATTAGCATATTTGTATCTGAGATTATTCGGTATTTATCGGATTCCAGGTCATCAGATGTATACGACAGTGATTCTGGCAATGATCGGTAAGATAGGGGCTGCTGCAGCTTTTGCCGTAATTTATGTCTGGTCAGCGGAACTATACCCCACAGTAGTTCGAAACGTGGCCATGGGTGCCAGCTCGTCCTGTGCGCGTATTGGCGGGATGGTGTCCCCCTACATAGCAGACCTCGTAAGTCTCATCAATAACATACGGTACATAAATGAAAAAGAAATCATAAATTTTGCTACATATTAGGTACAAAAAAATTCACAGATTGAAAATTATCAATGTTTCCTATTTCTATCTAACAATATTTCATCTTAATTTAGGAATGCATTTTGATAAAGTACAGTGAGAATAAATTATTGATATGCTGTGTATATGTTCAAAGTTTGAATGGCGATATTTTACTCACCAATTTTTTTCTCCCTTGGTTGTATTCGTCTAAATAAATACATGATAACAAACTGTGATATTAAGGCAATAAATAAGATCATTTTCTATTCGTTTATGAATATACATGTAACTATTTTTACTTAGAGTTTGTTAGTTGATGGTCACTTTGGACAAGCACTTCCTCTAGTCGTCTTTGGAGTAGCTTCCATAATTGCCGGACTGTTTTCCCTTATTTTACCGGAAACACTAGGAGCCAATTTACCAGAAACCATTCAAGATGGCAAAGATTTTCCTAAACCAAAGTAAATCTTTAATATTCCATACCACAGGTATCCATTTCTTTTAAAATGGAAATAACCGTCTTTTCTTGCTTGAATGAATTTTGTATTTTTTTCTTTCTTTTTCTCTAGGCGGGCAAAAAATTACGAGGCAGACAGGTCTTCAAATGCTTACAGGAACGATGGGTTTACTGTCGATATGACAAAATTCTAAATTAATAAGACATTAAACATGTTGAACTCATTCATAAGGCCATGTTTTCATCTAGTCTGCGTTTTCACTGACTTGTGCATTATCTAAAACAATTTCATGGGTATCTATCAAGTCTACATTAAAGTTTTTAAGTTTAACTGTACAATTGCTTCAGTCTATTAGTAGTTGTAATTGTAAAGAATGTTTTAAACGAACGAGAAACAAATATTCTACATTTCATTTTTATATGTAAAAGTGAGGAACACAACGCAAATCAATAAGGCTGTTTTTTCCCATATTTTTAATATTTAATTTGAATGTGATATTCAAAACATGTACATGTAAAAGAAACATAATACGGTATATGTAGGACATACATGTACATGTACACGTTCAATTAAACTCAAGAGTCAAAATTTCATTTTCTTTCATCGATTTTTTGTCTGGAATATTTACCATAATGGTGTATATCATTTTATATTAAGATATTAATACAATGTTCACATAATATATAGATTTATATAATTCAATGCATACCGGGATATTTATATGTAGGAAGACAGGTTGTGATACATTTCCTGCCCAAATGTAATATAAATTTTAATTTGTATTGAATATAAGGGTACTTAACACAAACAAAAATTTGATGCATGGATTGATATATATTTTTTGACTGATTTTGATTTGAATGACATAAATAATAAATCCCTGAAGTATAAAGAAATCGTAGGTTTTCCTTGATGCTAAGATATGAGACTTTATTTGCTTTCTATATACATGTAATTCCATACAAAATATTCCACAAATTTTTACCCTTATGACAAAATCTTATAAAATTCTCTCAGTGTACTTAGTACACATTGTTCAGGTTACCACTTTCAATGTAAATCTATGAGAAATATTGCTGATTTCTGATTAAAGTTTGTGTTATTTATCCTTAATACGTTTAATTATTGTGAGAGTCCCTCCCTAAACATATCCATGATTATGCAATACATGTATGTATAAAATAGCACTTGCAAGTTGTTCTTTTAATCTCTATATATTTTGTCACAATGAATCATTAATTAGTACATGTAAGTAGTTTTGTCGAAGTTTAGTATGGATTATGCTTCATAACTTTATCCAAATAAATGTACGTCGGTGATTTCTTTCCTATGGAATTAATGTCATATGGAATATATTGAGCTACATGTAGATAGAAAGTCATGCATTTTGATGTTATTAATTTGAAAAAAAAAATTTCAGAATTCTCTTAATGTTCCATGAAGTTTTAAGTACATGTATCCAGATTTGATTTGCAGCACAGCATACTTCTCAAATATACTGTCGTACAGTACTCCAAAAGTTCTTCCTTTAATGCTGTAATTATTTTAGTGAGGAGTAAAGAGGCTTGGTAGAACATTTACTGGAATCCACTATGTATCTTTGGAAGGGTTTCTTTGAAGTTTTGAATCCAGTAAATATTTGGTAATTCAAATACATTTCGATTGATGGAAATATCTTTTTTAACTAAAACTGACAATTAAATGGTTTTTAAAAGATTTTTTTCCTTATAATTCAATTTGGCGTTTTGGGTATAAGTTGAAATACCACTCTCCGAATTAATTTCAAATACTAGTAGACCTTTAAAAAATAAAGACAATGTTTCTTGGGTGGCATAATAAGTGTATTGATAAAAAGGGGGTGATACGTGGATCAGTTTTTTAATGAAACAAGCTTTCTATGTGTCTCTGGTCAAGGTCAATAAGCTGTAGGGTATATCACGATAAAAAAGAGCCCTTGATTCAAATATTTACTTAGGCTTGTGATTACCTATTATATAACAGTTTGTCTTGTATAACTTGCAAGGTAACATGGTGAAAATCATTGCTCGATTTGGTTGTCCTTGAAAACATGCAAATATCTTTTTATGGTTGGTCCTGAGTCTCTTGAGTTGCGTGAACGTTATGTACACAACGTGCTTTTTTTAAATAAGCACTTTATTTTTGATATGATCTTTCAGAATGGCCTTACAAAATGCAAATAGTATACTGTAGTAGAGAAAATGTTAGTCCTAGCATGTTCAAATATTTACAAACAACGCGATTCTGACATCTTACAAAATTATATGTCACAAAATGACAAATTATTCTTGAATATAATGATGTCTGATTTTAAGCATGAAACTCATCGGAAAATGAGGGCTGCTTGTACATATATAAACGATGTATTTGAGATTATCTTTCCTCAAAATTACATATTTGCACATTAATCTACTAATTCGTTCTGTATTATTCACTTCACAGAAATTTAAGGGAAAATTCTGTAATCATTATTATATTCTCTTTTTTACAAATGACTTTGTCAAATTAAATTCTTGGAGAGCGTTTCAAAAATGATTGAATGTTATTGTTATTTAAAAGTGTAATTATTTAAATCTAAGTAAAATTGAGTCATCTTTTTTTTCAAAATCAGAGGGAAAAAAATGAACACCTACGGCATGTGTGATACCAAACTGCATTTGCATCGGTCTTAAGGGACGACGATGTTAAAAATTTCACAGGGATGCCATGTTAACTAAAGCTTAACGTATTTCAATTTTTGTTTATTCAATTATACTGTTTCATCAAATGTCAAGATTTTGTGAAGATGAAATTCTAATGACTTAAGTCTTTTGCTTCGACAAAATCTATGGAGGATAACAAGAATTTTAATTTTACTAGATTTATCAAAGGCATATGTCTCTGGTTTGAGAAATTTGATATCGTTACTTAAATTAAGGATTAGATATGAATATTACGAATATTGCGAATAGATTTTTTGAAAATTCCAAACCTAAATTAAAACTTGACAAAAAGAAAAGTGTTGCCGTTGTCCAAACACGAAAATCATATTTCTTGGGGGAGGAGTGGGAGGGGAGGGGAGGAATCAAACTTCATTTAGTACTTTTTTTTACAAACACTACCACTTACCCTTTTTAGCTCACCTGGGCCGAAGGCTCAAATGAGCTTTTCTGATCAAAATTAATCTTTTCTACTCGAAAAGTGAGGAAAATTGGCTAAATCGGCAAAGGTTACTGAACCCGTTATTATTAAATAGTGTGAAATGTTTCAAGACAAAAACACATATGCATATTTTTATAGCGATTTTTTTTCTCTAAATGTCCGATTGAAATGTTTTCCAGGGCAACACGTATAAAGACAAAAACAACTAGAGGTACTGTGAGCAATGAGCTCACTAAATGATAATCCCCGCCTCCCATATGAATAAAATGGCAGTGTCCATGTTTTGCTGTGGGAAGCCCAAAATATGTGTCGGATCAAAAGTAAAATAGGAGGTGCACAATGGCAATATGTGTAAAGATAAAGATAAAGTTTCAGCAAATTTCATTCAGTGGTATGAGAAGAGTTGCTGATAAGACATGGGTACCGCAAAGCGTAACAGACGGACGGAACAGACATACCGATTACTATACACCCTCCCGCTTTTCAGGCGGGATATAAATATTCACAAACCTACATACGTAGTTTAAATCTACATACGCGCGGCTTGCTTCAATGTGTATCTTGCACTGTCGTGTGTGAAAGAATAAGGATGCACTTTGACGAACTGCTTGGGGTCCTTGGGGAATTTGGTCCCTACCAGAAATATGTCTATTTCCTTGTGTGCCTCCCTTCCATCATTGCAGTCTTTCATATGGTCAATTCGGTTTCTACTGGGAATTCCAAAACACAGGTGAAAACTTTTGGGTATTTCTTTACATATTTTGCTTTCTCTTAAGGACTTAATTAGATGTTAATATAATACACTACAATTTAGGATTTTTTTCCATTCACATGTTAATTGCAGTTAATTGCAGTGTGACAAAATTCTTTTTGAATGAAAAAAATACATTCAATATATTAGAAAGTATGATTTTTTTTTCAATTAACATGTTTACTAATGATCATTTGAATTGGGAGTTTTTCCTGCCATGCCTATATATAGGTTTATCTCAAAAATAAATGAAATATGTAAAGTACTTTATATAAATTCCCTATTAATCACCGCATTTGCCACTATAACATTTTGCAGACAAATTTATGAGATGTAGATTTTTTAAAATCACATTTAAAACTTTTTTTAGAAAAGAAAATCAATTTCTTTATTTGTTAACGTTATGAAGGGCTTTTGTCGTTTAACATTATTAATATTTTGTTTGTGGACAGAACTTCAGTCTGTCGGCATTGGTTATGACTTTTCAAAAGACACTGGTGACCGCTTTGCGATGACTTAATTGATATGCTTTCCATTTTGATTTTGTTCCAACCCCTTTAGAACTCAATATAGATCTTATGTTTTTCACGCAGATGACGCATGTGTGTACAAAAGACAGATTAAACCAAAATGTCTTGCTCCAGGCGTAGGGCTTACAGAAAGGAGTGTCAATTTTTGCTCAAATAAATCTTAAAGTTCGATGCATATCCAATTGTCAGTTGCAAATGTCATCCGTTAAACTACTTGCTCAAGGTGTAAGGTGCAATAATATAATCTGACAGTTTATAAGTTTTTGTGTATACATGATGGATTTTTTTCGAGAATTACATAAATGTCCATCGTTATCTGCTGCTCCGTGACGTTCTGCAAGGTCATTTTGTCGTTTTCAATGAGGACTATACTATCATCTCAAATGAATTTATTTTCAGCTAATCAAAATGTTAAGCCATAATATAGATATAAAATCACTTATACAGTTCTAGATTTAAACATTAAGCTTTTTTCTCGTTTTTCTCTCCTAAAGCTGTGACTTCAAAACATTTTCAAATCAATGCCAATGCATTGTAGAGACAACAATGAAGGATATGGAGATAACGAAGAGTATTCAATATCAAAGTCCATAAAACGATACAAAATAGGAGCAGAGCAAACACGGACCTCCGAAACATCAGAGTTGTGATCAGGTGCCATAGAGGAGTGAGTATCTCCTGCCGACCGGTCACACCCGCCGTGTGCTCCTTGTCATGATCGGGAAATAACGGAAAAAATCCGTCGTCAATTCAGTGTATAAATAATGGATTAACAATTAGTATGAAAAACTCATTCAGCATTTGACTCAATGATAAATTGTATTTGCTGACAAGGTCATTGTATCGACCAAAGAACTTACGAAATAATAACTTTAAACGAGACTGCTGATATTCTTGTTTCATCAACTTGTTTTGTCCAGAATTTACCTCGTTTTAGAAATTGTTCATACGTAGAGCATGTTCTTACGTATCGAATCAACTGAGATATATAAACGCCATACGTAGGTGATGAGGGTATATTGCTGCTTAAGTAAGGGAAGTTGACAAACAAACAAACAAATATAGTACATATATGATAAACAGTACAAAATAACATTATAGATAAAAAAAATAATAAATGTTTGTTTGTCCTCTCTCGACCGACTGTCTAAAATTGGCCCGCCTCAAAAATTGTATAACCTGCAGGTAACGATAATTTTGTTTTATCCATTCAAGTACAGCTCCGTGTAAAAATCATGCAAAATAGGCATAAAGGTGATATATGAGGGTTCTCAGAATTTGATGATTTTCCACACATAGTTTTCTCTTGCACTATGAACCATGTATGTAAAATAAAAAATGTTTTGGTTCATGGTTACTATGGAAACAAGGGTAAAGAAATTTCCTTAGCAACTAGCCAATTTTCAGCTTGGATGGACGAAAAAATTCCTTATCTTTGGGGCACTAATTAAATGTAATTTATAGAGAAATTTCTTTTTTATTGCTTTTATTCTCAAGATAAACATCTTAAGTGCTTTCACAATAAAAAACATAGAAATACGATTTAAGATATTTGTTTGATAGATATGGGTATATATACATGTTTTTCCTATTTTGCTGACTCAGCAATTTCCTTGATTTTGGAAGTTTTCGGTGTCAAATTACTCAAATGATGGACCTGATACAGACACCGTGTGTATATAATGTAAAAGCAGAGGATTTGTTTTTTTAGAATTTGAATTCAGAAGCGTATAATTTTTTTAACTTCCCATC